CTTGTTTGCTCTCTCTCTGCCAGTGTCTTTATGCTCAACAACAGGATATAGAAACCTAAAGACCCTCCTCCATACCCATATTTGTGGAAACTGGGCATGGCCTCTGATGTACAGGACTGGACATGACCAGACATATTCTATGGCTATGGCATAAGACACACCTGCCCATGTTTGTGTAAAAAGGACATGACCCCTGCAGGACTTGCAAAATATTATTCTCGGCTATGACATAACCACCTTTTTGGGGCCTCAATGTATTTCTCCTTAAGTCAGGAGCCCCCCTCCCTGTGCACCCCTGTGAGGGAAGAGGGAAGAAACTGTCTCTCCTCTTATCAGTGACACCCATAAACCATTACAGGCCTTACACTCAACTTAACAAACCACTTTGTTTATACTGTAAATATAGAAAAGCATAACATATGAAACATTTGCATTGTAGGTTATACAAGAATATAATTGACTATATTTGATTATAACTAACTTTCGTTTTAATTATTCAACCTAATATGAAGATCTCAACAATACGTACAATATCTTTGTGCAGGATAAACAAGTCAAGTATTTAGTCTAATCTATCAAATCTACAGTTTGATAAATCTCTCCAGAGACCGTTGGGACACTTGAAGTGTGTTAGCTAAACCATGCTAGTCAGGTTAGCTCCTGGATGCATTCAGTGAATGACAGTGAGAAACCAGAGGCTCCACCTTAGATCTACTGTTGGCTCCTGTTCCCCGTAGAGGCTGGTTAGACTCTGTTATGCTCTTTTTCCATGGACTGGAAATGTCCATTATATTTGCTGAGAGATTTAGTATTTCCCCCAGGTGTTCCAGAGGAGGGTGGACGGCTCCGTGAACTTCTACCGGCCCTGGGATCACTACAAGACGGGCTTTGGTAACGCTGTCGGAGAATACTGGCTCGGTGAGAGATGAAGACGAACCGGAGGTCCTGACTTGATCAAACTCTCGGTTTCCTAGCGTTCATGGTGTCTGTTTGTCTGCAGGTCTGGAGACTCTCTCCCACCTGACTCTGAGGAAGAAGTACGAGCTGCTGGTGGACATGGAGGACTTTGACGGCGGAAAAGTGTTCGCTCGGTACTCCTCGTTCTCCGTGGACCCCGAGGCCTCCGGGTTCACTTTGCATGTGTCTGGATTCACTGATGGAGGGGCAGGTGAGGAACAGCAGGAAGTGCTTGATGTCTTTCTGATGTTCAGGAGACGCTCTCACACGTAGGACTGGCTTCAGACATCAGAGAGAGATAAGGGGGTAACCACAGCAGATCAGGAACTGTGGCTATATGCCCATGACATTCTTCTGTATATCACACATCTGGAGGTATCCCTTCCTATATCTTTAACAATGAATGATCTGGGCTGTCCTTAGGCTAATGACTGATTGACAAAGAGAACATTACCCAAAGGGACCGTGCTGTAGTTCCTTCACAGCCTAATGTTGTTATATATATTCTGGAGATGCATTTCAACTTCAGAAATCATAAAGTGTTGTTAATATGTGGAGATTACTTTCTGCTATATTCCAAAATCACATGGAGAAATCCCATTGGACCAGGGGCCTGCTGCCTTCAGGGACCAACACAGAGATACTTCATCCCTGTGTTAGTTGTATTATAATATTGTGATTATACACTTGTTGTGTTTCTGCAGGAGACTCCATGAGTAATCAAAACGGACAGAAGTTCTCCACCTTCGACAAAGACCAGGACTCTTGGAATTCTAACTGTGCCAGAACACACCTGGGGGGGTTCTGGTACAACGATTGTGAATACGCAAATCCCAACGGGGTTTATCGCTGGGGGGCTGATGGCACTATTTTTGCTATAGGAGTGAGCTGGTACACTTGGAAGGGTCAGGACTACTCCCTGAAATCCATCAGCATGATGGTCCGTCCTGTGCAGTAGTTCTGCAGGACAGCAACATGTCCTCAGCTGATATCGATCACATGTAATCACTCATCACTTTAAGATGGAAACAGATCCACTCAGTGGGATAATGTCTACGTTTTAAAGTCAAACTGAATCACTATTTGCTTCATGCTGACAATAAATGAAAACAATGAAGCTGATGTCTCTGGGTCCTTCCCTTTGTCTCCTGGGTCCTTCCCTTTGTCTCCTGGGTCCTTCCCTTTGTCTCCTGGGTCCTTCACTTTGTCTCCTGGGTCCTTCTGTCTCTGGGTCCTTCTGTCTCTGGGTCCTTCTGTCTCTGGGTCCTCACACTTTCAACACGTTTTTTCACAGAAATTCACTGTATTATTTTACAGACCTTTCTTGTTTTTCTATATTAAATGCATTTACCATAAAAATACAGTAAATTACTTTTATTAAAAATAAATAAAGGTTTTATTCTATAAATTGGTTTAATGATAAATGTTTACAGGACAATTCCATTGTTGAATTGTCTTGAATGTTAAATGACATTGAATTCTATGTAAAAACACATAAAATACACATAATTTTACTGCATGTAAATCTTTTTATAAAACATCATGTAAAATTAAAACAACTTTCTTATTTTTTGCAGTAAAACCTTAAATTGAATTTAACAAAATGTAAAAAAAACTAAAACAACTGTATTCTGTACTGTTGTGGAATAAAAATAAATCTTATTATAAAACATCTCTTAAATGTTAAATAAATGTATAAATCTTCACAACATATTTTATACATTGCAAAAATACCTAAAAGTTATTTTGTTTAAATAAAGTAGTTTTCATAAAGTATACTTAAGCAATAGCTCACGCCAGGCCGTGTATAGGCTCAGTATATCACAGCTAAGGGGCGTGGACAACCCCCTCTCTTCTTCACCAAGAGGACTTGAGCCGCACTGTTGTAGTCAGCCATCTAATATATTTACGTATATGATATTTACTAAAGCATATTAACAAGTTGGACTGTTTACAACATTTTGAACCCTTTGTTCACCATGTATTCATTTCTTTCTCTCTTTACTTCTCTAATGCTTAATTTTGTATTTCTTATTGTTGTTATTGTAATGTTTTTTTAAATTCTTAAACACAAACTGAATTAGAACCATCTAACAGTAAAAAATCGTTTTTGGCTGTTTGGATGGTGTTGCTCCATCTGGGTCACTGTCGGTGGTTGAGACGGTGGGGTCTTTGCGACTAGTTTTATAGCCCCATGTACATTAGTTCGGTGCTTCAGGAGATTGGCATTGCTGTTTTTCGATGTGGACAATGCTTTCTGTCCTGCACACAGTTTACATTTGACCATAATATTTGTTGCGTCCTTTATCCCCACAAATTGAAAATAGTGGTTATATCTCCAATTTGTAAATGCGCTGCTGCTCTCGCTGATACTTGCATCTGCCATAGTGTGTGTGTGTGCTGGTGGTGGGTGTTGCCGTGTATGTGTGTGTGTTAGCAAGTGTTTTTGTGTCTGTGTATTTTCCCCATAAGGTAAGACCCGCCCAACTCTGTCTCTGATTGGCTTACCCTGAAATGTTACCCCGCATTAACCAATCATCACTCCTCTCTGGTTACTTTCACTTTTCCATGGTGCTGTGAGAGGACATCGCTGTATTCGCCTGTAAGCCACATCCGCAGGGAGATTCGGTTCAGTTTGTGACAACCCTGTGGTTGTCCACCTGGTGGTGCTGTTGTAACCTGTGTTTGTTGTAATCAGCAGTGATGGAACCCACCTGTGGCGCTGATTACAGGATATAAGAGGGCTGCAGAACAGGCTCTCGCTCTCTCTCAGCTGCCCTGCTCGGTGCAGCAGGACACCGCTCCGCCGTTCTGTTTTATTGTTGTGTTGGATAAATAAATGATTCTTTTGGGCAACTCCGGTGTGGAACTGTTGTCCTTATGTTACAAGCAGAGCCAGCTTGTAACATATGGGGGCTCGTCCGATCCAAGAACCAGGTGATAGTTGTTTACTTGATTTGTCTGCCTTGATTGTTAGACAGTTTGTTCCTGGTGTAGGGCATTAAGGAATAGCTTTGGAATTACCTTTCCTGATAGGCATTAGCAACATCTCCTTCAGGGGAGCTGGTTGGTTTGTTATTAGTGCCTGTTGTGAGTTTTCATAGTATGTTTAATACTTAAAAACGAAAGTTAGTTATAATCAATTATATTCTTGTATAACCCACAATGAAAATGCTTCATATTTTAGGTTTTTCTATAGTTACAGTATAAACAAAGCAAAGTGGTTTGTTTAGGTGGAGTGTGTATGTTGCCGTTTTCCTCCCTCTCCTGTGACAGCAGTCCACAGGGAGGGGGGGCTCCAGGCTTAAGGAGAAACACAGAGGCCAAAAAGAGTTCATGTCCTTTTCACACTAACATGAGAAGGTGGGTCTTATGTCATAAAGCTATGGAACATGTCGAGGCATGTTCAGCCTTGTACATTAGAGGGCATGCGCAGTTTTTCACAAATTGGGTGTAGAGGAGGAGTTTGTTTTTTGGGGTTTCGATCCAGTTTTTTTAGCATAAAGAGACTGGTTTTTTGAGAGAGCGTGAGAGAGAGGGGGGAAACCCCTGGTAGACTCTCTCCCGGTAGGCTGTGTGCTTCAGAGCTGGGTAACTAGCTCTCGGTAATGTTCTGCCAGACGGGGTAAATATCTCTCGAATTTCTTGGTTGTTGGCTGAGTGGAATGATTTGATGAGAGATGTGTTTGTGAATGTTATAAATACCGCTACCTGTGGGGAAAATCTCTCCCCCGAATTATTGCGGACAGGTATGGGTTTTTGAGTGTTAATCCGCCGTCTGTCGGAAAAAACGGTATGAAACTGATGTGAATTGATTGGTGAATTAAAAGTTGAATGCGCTTTTTATTGTCACCGGTCTTTTTACGAGGAAATACCTCAATTCTATCGGGAGAATTTTAAAATGTCACAACTGAATAGGGCAGTTGAAATTAAAACATTTTGGTAATAAATGTAAGACTGTGAATTAAAGTTTCATATTTGAACATGATCACAGCACCAGGTTTTTAGTATGATTATAATGTTGTAAAGAGAGAAGGTAAAAACCCTGTATTAGTTTGGACCTATTTTTCTTCAAATAAACTGATCCTACCTGTTGGATTGGGATAATTTAAAAGACACCTGTGCTCTCCTCTCCTGCTTCAAAGGTAAGACTGCACCCTGCCACACACACTTAGGTAGGAGCACACTCCATTTACTGATATCAAAATCCTTCGGGATCCCTTAAACAGATTAAAAAAGAGTTGTCTGAATTGAAACGGCAGTTAATTGAACCTGGTTCTTCGGGGGGTTATAGAGGTGAGATCTTGCTGACGTTGGTGGATCTGAGCTAAGCAGCAACCTTACATAGACTCAATAACTTCGGAAAGGTCAATTAGTAGGTCAGAATAATTTACCGGAATAAATTATCAGGACCTCTCCGACTCTAAACAGGCCTGAGCACGAAGTGCAAAGACCTATTGAAATTCATGGCATTATTATTCTTCCGAATCTTGATCTGCACTTTCGACCTGTTTTTGAGGGACTTGGGACACTATTCATGTAGCGACATTTGGCAACGCCGCCAGGACGGGTGAAAATGTTGACATTCTGGATTCGATGCGTGAAAAATTTCAAACTTGCTCTCTAGCGCCACCTGTGAACATTCAGTTTTTTGAAAAATGTACATAGTCGCAGCATAAGTCTGACGGACCTGAAATGTTCCACACTTATCCGGGCGGAGCAGCTCTACATATTATCCTCTCATATCCCGAAGCTCCGCCTACTTTGATTTTTTTTTTATTAGCATAATGTGAAAAACATTGAAATATTAACTTAAATTCCAATTTCTTGATTTTCCAAACCAAACTTAGTGGACAGCATCAATGGAGGGTCAGACACATTAACGTATACAATGAGCACGAGGTGTGGAAAAATGTGGCCGACATCAATCAAAACGTATTAGCAAAAGGGTGTGGCCTACACATAAATGCTCACAATTCATCCAAAATGTATCCAAATATCACAGATTTCGGTGGATAGGTTAGTGTGTCTTGGGGAATAGGCACAACAAAAAATGTTCATTTCGGACAATAGGGGGCGCCAAAAACACAACTAATTTATATCTCAAGAACCGATGGACTAAAAAAATATATGTTGTCATAGACATACTGGCAGGGTGAGTATAAACTGAGATTTAAAGGGTCGCAACCAATGAAAAATGTGGGCGTGTCCTATTCAGTTTTTTCTCGAAATCGAAGGGTTAAAAAAAGTACCGAGCCATAAGTAGCGGGGAATATGAGTTACGGCCTTTAAATTCGGAACGCATGTCACAGCCTACAACCTTTTCCAGACTGTTGACATTTTTTTTACGTTTTAGCAAATATGGCTCAGTAGAGCCCCCTATTGTGCGGTAGTCAAATATAGTTTCTTCAAACTACCCGAAACTTGGCACAGAGATTCCTCATGGAATTGCGGACATATTTGTACATACATTCCATTAGCCCCGCCCCCCAACAAGTCGGCCATTTTGAAATATGTGCGTTTTTTATGCATTTTAAGCACATTCTTGCGCACTTCTTCTAGGGGAATGATCGGGAAAATTCCAATCCAGGACACGTTCAGGCCCTATCCAATATGATACTTAACTTAGGAGCGGATTTTTGAAAAATTACTCGTGGAGGTCGTAAGCTAACAGCGAATACACCATTTTTCACGATTTAAATGCCACAAAATCGCTAAAATGACTTTCGGACGCAAAACTTGGAACACACGTCACAACCCATGTCTTTTTCCAGACTGTACAAAAAAAACGTACATTTTTGTACACCAGCTCAGTAGCGGCCCCTATTGTGCGATAGTCACATATCGTTTTTCAGAACTTCACGAATTTTGGCACAGACATTCCTCATGGAATTGCGGACATATTTGTACATACATTCCATTAGCCCAGCCCCCCAAAAAGTCGGCCATTTTGAAATATGTGCGTTTTTTATGCATTTTAAGCACATTCTTGCGCACTTCTCCTAGGGGAATGATCGGAACAATTCCAATCCAGGACACGTTCAGGCCCTATCCAATATGATACTTAACTTAGGAGCAGATTTTTGAAAAAGTACTCGTGGAGGTCGTAAGCTAACA